TCTGGGCTGCCAGCAGACAGGTAATCACACACACACACACACACACACACACACACACACACTTTATTTCATTGTTTAATTAGTTAGCATGTGTTTGCAGTTTATTTGCATTAGCATGAAATACAATGTTTCCTGTGTTAATTTGGGTTTTAATAAATTTGATTACCAAAATAAATACAGTGCTGCTTGAAAGTTTGTGAACCCTTTAGAATTTTCTATATTTCTGCATAAATATGACCCAAAACATAATTAGATTTTCACACAAATCCTGAAAGTAGACATAGAGAATCCAATCAAACAAAGGAGACAAAAATATATACTTTGTCATGAGAAAAATGATCCGGTGTTACATATTTGTGAGTGGCGAAAGTATGTGAATCTTTGCTTTCAGTATCTGGTGTGACCCCCTTTTGCAGCAATAACTGCAAGTAACGTTTCTTGGAACTGCTGATCAGTCCTGCAGGAATTTTAGCCCATTCCTCAGTACAAAACCACTTCAACTCTGTGATGTTGGTGGGTTTCCTCCTATGAACTTTAACTTTGTTCTTCTTTAACCATCCTTTGGTAGAACGATTTGTGTGCTTGGGGTCGTTGTCTTGCTGCATGACCCACTTTCTCTTGAGATTCAGTTCACTGACAGATGTCCTGACATTATCCATCAGAATTTGCTGGTATAATTCAGAATTCATTGTTCCATCAATGATGGCAAGCTGTCCTGGACCAGATGCAGCAAAACAGGCCCAAACCATGATACTACCACCACCATGTTTCACAGATGGGACAAGGTTCTAATGTTGGAATGCAGTGTTTTCTTTCTCCAAACATAACGCTGCTCATTTAAACCAAAATGTTCTATTTTGGTCTCATGCATCCACAAAACATTTCTCCAGTATTCCTCTGGCTTGTCTGCATGACCTTTAGCAAACTGCAGATGAGCAGCAATGTTCTTTTTGGAGAGCAGTGGCTTTCTTCTTGCAACTCTGCCATGGACACCATGGTTTTTCAGTGTTCTCCTGATGATGGTCTCCTAAACATTAACATTAGCCAATGTGAGAAAGGCCTTTAGTTGCTTATTGAAACCTTTTCCAGCCTGATGAGCAACAGCAACTCTTTTTCTGAAGTCCTCGGAGATCTCATTTTGTTTTTGCCATGATACACTTCCACAAACATGATCAAACTTCTTTAAATAAAACAGGGCACACATGACACCTGATAGTCATCTCACTGATTAAAAACACCTCTGAACAGATGGACTCTAATTTCACCTTCAAATTAACAGCTAATCCTAGAGATTCACATACTTTTGCCGCTCACAGATATGTAATATTGGATCATTTTCCTGAATAAATAAATGACAAAGTATATATTTTCATCTCATTTGTTTGATTGGATTCTCTTTGTCTACTTTCAGAACTTGCATGAAAAGCTGATGATTTTTTGGGTTATATTTATGCAGAAATAGACAATTGTAAAGAGTTCACAAACTTTCAAGCAGCACCGTATGTTTTTCCTGCTACATTTAATGCCTTATGCTGTCAAAAGAAACAGAATAACACCTGCAAAAGTGACACAAAATCAACCCATATCTAATTTCCTTCACGACCACTGTCTGCAAGGGGTTTATATGAATCGCTTAAAGCCTTTCCCTTGTGACCTGTTTTTTGTGTAATGTATATTGTAAAATGTTACAATCACTGTTTCTTTCTCTTTACAATGCATGCAACATCTGATCAAATGTCACATTTGACAATCTCACCTTCCCTGTTTCTTTATCAGGAAATAACTAAAGTGAGGAACAAAATATAAGTCTTGGACAAGATTTCCTAAAAGACTATTCTTGTAAGTATATGGATATGCGGGAAGAGATGGGTGGAGTGTTAGAGGTGAATGAAAGGAGATCAGAAATTAGGACAAAGCTGACAACAAAAATGCTACTGAAGGATGGTCTGGGAGGAGCCCACCTGCTTAAAAAGAGAAAGAATATCAGCAGAGAAAGATGATGATGTTGTGTAGACACTAACTGTGCTCCTGCATTGATGGTCAAATATAGTGGTGTAGATATCTAGCACAATCATAAGGTAAGACTGGGTGAGTTTATATATTTTTATTATATCTACAATTATGTAAACCTTTTGAGTGTATTCAATGACTGACTTAGAAGAAATTGAAATATAAATGCAGTGTCACTTACCACTTATTTTTTTTCAATAGACTTTTAGCAATGCCAAGTATTTTTCTTTTTTAAGATTTAAAGGCACTATATGTCAGGAAATGGACAGAGGACTCAAATGCAGTTCAAACAAAAAATAGACTTTATTCCGAAACCCAAGCCAGCAAAGGCGTGAAACACCACAGTTAGGGGAATGCAGTGGTGTGGCGCTCCCTGCGCACACATTCACCAAGACAGGGGGGCTGAGAGGAATACCGGAAAACGTCCAGAATCGTACTCCCAATCCGGCCTCACTGTCCACAGCCGCGATACTAATTCCTCGCCTGAGGATCCTGGAAACAGTGCAGAGAGTGTAGAGGAGAGTGAAAACTCAAAAGCGCGCCCATACGGCACATAAGGACATAAGACATACCCACGCCGAAAAAAAGACAAAGACAGGAATATATAGGAAGTGGGAATGAGTACCAGGTGCGGGCTAATAGAGCGCGCCGCCCCGCGAGTGAGCGCTGATTGCTCCACCATGTGTGTCTGAAACTGACAGGACCAAAACAACCACCACGTGCAAATGACAACGACAGCGCACAGGTGAGAGGCAGAAAGGAGTCGGAGAAGGTACCGGTACTGACACTATAATGATTTATTTTTCTTTAGAAAAGAAAAAAAAAATCTTTATATGTCCTATTAGACTCTATTGAAAGCCACAAGAATGAGCATCAAGGTATCATTTATTTTGCATGATGGTCCAATATTATATTATATTATATTATATTATATTAAAAAGTTTACTAATATGTAATTTTTCTTGACAAGGTATTTGCAACTTGGGTGGTTCTTGTTACAAGTAAGTTTGATTAAAAAGGAAGCTGTTGTTAAAACCACTTACTGACATTTGTATTAGAGAAAAAATATGCTAAAACCCCTAGTCTGTCATTACTTATAGGTACACGTATCTCACCTTCCACTCAGAGTAGGTCTGATTTTCCTTCTTTATAATTAAAAAGAAAAAGAAAAAAACGTAAAATCGTATAATGACATCCTGAAAGGTTCTCATGTGGCTACCCTTAAATCCTGTCCTTTTTTTTTTTTTTTGGATATTTGTTTGTTTTTTGGTATTTTATTTTAGGTTGTATAACTCAGTGGTTTGACCATGATGACCCTAATGATGGAAATGGAGACAGTGAGCTCTTGGCTGACCTTCTAGGTGTATATCCTGAACAAATATGTCCAAATCCAGTCGATATATATGTAGGGTCCGTCTCTGGCATATCATCATCTCAAACCTTTCAAGTGTGAGTGTACAGTATTAAAAGCATTACAATGGTTTCTGGTTATTATTTTGAGCCATATAACAAAAATGATCTTACATGAAGATTTATATGTAGGTTATTCTGTTTTTTTTCTGAAGATATGATCCAGCAATTGGGTTTGAGTGCATCAATTCATATCAAGTAGGAGGGTTATGTGACGATTATAAGGTGCGCTTCAACTGCCCAGATGAATGGTGTTCAAGTGAGTGTCATTTACATACAAAAACAGACCCAGTGAGTTACCAATTTACTGATTAGCAGTTTACAATGTCATTAAATTGTCTGAATTACTTGTTCACCTTCATTATAAAAAGTGGTACATATTATTAATTATTTTAGAACTTCGATATTATTAGACTAGGAATCTGTCAAAAATTTTGAATTTTACCTTTCTATAATAGAAACCAGTGTGATGATCCTTTTTTTTTTGGTTTGGATAAGCTGATGGTATTTACTAAGTTGGTTTTCCTCTGTTAGAATGTAGGACACGCTGGTTTAACCAAGGTAAACCCACTAAATTTGGACAGTCTGAGTATCTGCAGTCAATCCTGTTGGCATACCCACTACAGGTCTGCGTTGAGCCCATCGCCATTGAGGTGACAACCAATGAAGGGATCTCTGTACTGCCGAATGAAAATTTTCCAGTGTACGACAAACAATTTCACACGTTCTATTTTAAACTCATCCCATTTACTGTACAAGTTACAGTATGTAATCTGACAGTTCTACATACAAAACACTAAAATTCCTAGCATATTATAAGATGCTTATTTAGATTAGATTTTTTTTTTTGGTAAATAATATTAGCAGATTATTATTTTCTGCAGATATGATCCAACACAAGGCTTTGCTTGTGTGAATAAACCACTAAATGGATGGTGGTGTCAGGATTACAAGGTCCGTTTCACATGTCCAATGAGTTTTTGCCAACCAAGTATGTATATTCATTTGATCTACTGTAATACTGTATGTTTTTTTTTTTTTGCCTAACAATTTTCTCTTTAATGTATTCATCCGAGTGCGTAACAAAGTGGTTTAATTCTTACAAACCTGGTAAAAATGTTGGAGATTTCGAACTCTTGGATACACTTCTCAGTACGTTCCCTGGAGAAATATGTCAGAATCCAATTGGAATAGAGGTTCAGACCGTCTCTGGCCAGCCAGCAATTCTAGCTGGATTTAACTTTCAACTGTGAGTCTATCAAGTTGTAACACTGAGTATGTCAATAAACAAAAACTTGTGTAAATGTTTTTTTTTATGATGTTCTTGAATTATTTAATCTTTTTTTAAGATTTATTTCAGCATCTGGGTTTGCTTGCACAGGATATTGTGTTGATTATAAGGTGCGCTTCACCTGCCCAGAGGATTGGTGTTCAAGTGAGTGACATTTACACACAAAACAGATCCAGTGTGTTACCAAATAACTGACTAGCAGTTTACAATATCATAAAATTTTCTAAAGTGCTTGTTTACATTACATTATAAAAATTTGTACGTACTGTAGGTATAATTTGCACAAATGTCATGCAAAATAATATCAAAGCTCTAAAATAATTCAGATGTAAGACTAAGAATATGTCAAAAATATTTTGAATTTTTCCTTTCTATAACAAATCAATGTTATGAGCTTTTGTTGGGTTTGGATAAGATGATGATATTTATTAAGTTGGGTTTCCTCTGTTAGAATGTAGGACACGCTGGTTTAACCAAGTTATATCCAGTAAATTTGGAAAGTCTGTGACGCTGCAGTCAATCCTGTTGGCGTACCCACTACAGGTCTGCGTTGAGCCCATCGCCATTGAGGTGACAACCAATGGTGGGACCTCTGTACTGCCGAATGGAAATTTTCCAGTGTACGACAAACAATTTCACATGTTCTATTTTAAACTTCCTTCAGATAAATTAAATAATGATATGGATACATTGTTAATCTAAACACTTATTTGGTGCCTATTTCACCAAATGTGTTTGCATTACTTTTATGCACAGAATATCTGTTGCATATCACTTTCAGTTTAGCCCTTGCAACTCCAACCACTTTCTTTACTGAAATATGGAGTTTAGGAGCAGAAGAGAATGCATGCCCATTGCCCATATGCACATTTGCATTCACAGAAATACTGATTAAACATTTAAATTAGATAGCAGTTCGAGTACTTGTCTGTATGGCTGTGCTTTATCTTAAACACTCACTCTTACATATACAATTGCCCATTCATTTTCTCTGAATTGAAAGATTGGCTTAGCCAATCTGTCAAGTATCTTAAAAATATGTTTCATAGAGCAGCACATTAAATTGGTGCTTCAAGAGCAGTCACACAATAAAGTGTACTGTGTCTAATCCCATTTACTGTACAAGTTACACTATGTAATCGGACAGTTCTACATACAAAACACTAAAATTCCTAGCATGTTATAAGATGCTTATTTAGATTTTTTTGTAAATAATATTAGCAGATGTATTATTTTTCTGCAGATATGATCCAATACAAGGCTTTGCTTGTGTGAATAAACCACTAAATGGATGGTGGTGTCAGGATGACCCCAATGGACTAGGAGACAATGAGAAGCTGTCGTTACTCCTGATAAGATACCCACTACAGGTCTGCGCTCAGCCCATCGCCATTGAGGTCACAACCGTTAGTGGGAGCCCTGTACTGCCTACTGGAAACAATTTTGTAGTGTATGGTATCATGTATTATCCATATAAATGTCTCCAATTAAAATAGACTATGCTGTTATTTCTTAATGCGATGTCAAATAGACATGAGAAGCTTAATCATTGCTTGTTCTGGATCTTCAAGAACACCTTTGCAAAATATTTTGCACAAAACTGCTTATGAATGCCATTTTGTAAATTCAGTTAATATATTTGTTATTTTCTGTAGGTATGACCCGTTAAAGGGCTTTGAGTGTGTGAATGGGGCCTGTCAAGACTACAGGGTCTGCTTCACATGTCCACTGAGTTTCTGCAACACAAGTATGTTTCATAATTCTAATGTATTCAACTTCACTGTGTTGTATGAAGATTTTTTGTTCATATTGTAAAGATGCTTATAATAGTATGTATTATGTCTATGTATAATGTCTATGTATAATAGTTTTTTTTCTCTGTGCTCTATTCATCAGCGTGTGTAACCAGGTGGTTTGATTCTGACGACCCTGAAACAAATGGAAGAGATTCTGAACTCTTGTCTGGCCTTTTCAGTAAGTACCCTGGTTACATTTGTCCAAATCCAATCGGAATAGAAGTTCAGACCATCTCTGGCCAGCCAGCGTATCAAACTGGAAACATCTTTCAAGTGTGAGTCTATCAAATCTATTACATTGCTTTACAGGGCACATGTTTCTGAAAGCATTTTTTAGCGAAACAAAAAATTAACTCCAATTTTTTCTCTGTGTCTTGTGAAGGTATAATCCAGTCTTTGGGTTTGCTTGTGTAACTGCAGGCCAAACAGGAGGAGGGCTTTGTGCTGATTATAAAGTGCGATTCTCCTGCCCAGAGAAATTTTGCACAAGTGAGTGAATTTACACAACAAATACTAAGGAAAGTGGACTGAAAACCAAGAGAGCCTATAGTGAAATGCCAAATTAATTTGTCTACAATTACAATAACATACCATTGAGTTAACATGTCATATATTACCAAAATATATGACCAAAAATCAATGTAGAATGTATATTTCATTGGCAGGGTTGTTTTCTGTTATAAAAATCATAGGGCTTTTCTCACTTGAACTAGTTAACCCTGGGTCATTCTTGATTCATGTTTCACACTGCTTGTAATTTACCCAGGGTTAACAGTTAGGGTATTCATTCACTGACGTTTCACACTATATATTCCCAAACCCTGGGTTAATGTTCTTATCTGCATATTTGCATTGTTAGTGTCATTGTTTGGACAAACGCAGCATGCGACCTATTTACATAAAGGCTTTAGCATTGTGCATCCTCATGTTATATACTGGCAACAGTCTTATCAAGTTTTTCCTGAATGGGCTTTTCGGACTATAAAACTAAGAATAAAACAGTCTCCAATTAACACGTTTTCAGTCATAATTTGACGGTTTTCTCCTCAAATGCTGAATCGACTGTTTATACAATGCATGGTGTTTCTGTGACTGTCCAAAGCATAGATATCTATACGTAGATACCATTCGACTGCTCCAGACAGGTCAATGTGTCTACTAGTTCCTTGGTCTTCTGGGTGTTGAGTGCAAGAATTGTTTTGGGCACAAAACACTGCCAGGTGCTGAACCTCCTCCCTGTAGTCCAAATCATCATCGCCGCTGATCAGGCCTAACACCGTGGTGTCGTCTTCAAACATGATTATGGAGTTAGGGCCATGTACAGGTACGCAGTCGTGGGTGGAAAGGGAGTAGAGAATTGGGCTCAGAACACAGCCCTATGGTATGCCACTGTTCAAGATGAGGATGGAGGAGTTGTAATTGTTAATCCTAACAGACTATGGTCTTTTGGTGAGAAAGTCCAAGGTCCAGCTGCAGAGAGAGGGGCTGATGCCAAGGTCAGTGAGTTTGGAGATCAGCTTAGATGGAATCACAGTATTAAAAGCAGAGCTGATATCGATGAATAGCATTCTGACATTAGTGTTGCTTTCATCCTGGTGATTCAGGGCATTGTGGAGAGCTGAGGCGATGGCGTCCTCAGTTGACCTGTTGGGTTTGTATGCGAACTGAAATGGGTCCAGTGTTGGGGGCAGGCACGTTTTCAGATGGGATAGTACCAACCTCGCAAAACATTTTGCTATGATTGGTGTGAGCTCAGCTTTGTTGGGTGATTCTGTGTTTCCACGATCAAAGCAAGCACAAAAGATGTTCAGTTGGTTGGGGGGGCGGGGTGCTGCTTGATGGTTTGTAGTCTGTGAGGACATGAATGCCTGTCCACATACGCCGAGGATCATAGATATTCATACATGTAAATAATAACTATGGCTGCAGATGCACAGTCAACTTGCTTTTTAATTGTTCACGGACTGGCTTTGACCATGGCGGACCGCTTATGTATAGCAGCCCATAGAAACATTTGGTAATGTGGCATCTACATATACATATCTATGGTCCAAACAACAGTAAATGTGTCTGCATCTTAAGAAGGTACCTATAATCAGTGGTGTATAAAGTACCTGAAAGCCATACTCAAGTAAAAGTACAGATATCTTACCAGAAAATGACTTTGGTAGAAGTTGAAGTCACTGTTTTGAATATTACTTAAGTAAAAGTCTTAAAGTATGTGATATTTATTGTACTTAAGTATGAAAAGTATTTTTTTTATCTTAAACGTACTTAAGTATTGAAAGTAAAAGTACAAGTAAATGCAAAATATAAAAGAAGCAAATAAATATAAAAAATGTTCATACACAGCTTGAGTAGCAAGATTGTGTTCAGTTTTAACTCTTTCTTCTATTTTGTATCTTTGGGTAAGAATAAGGAGCACTTCATCTGGTACTTAGTGTCTTTCATTCCAACATAAGGAAACATTTCTGGAATCTGCATCTGAAATGGCATTTAGATGTATTTACAGTTTATGTATCTCAGAGGGGACATGGATGCATGCATGATGCATGCAGTTACAGATGCATGAATAGGCCTAATGTTTTGTTTTTAACATAAAACGTTGAATACTGATATCTGAAATAATTTAAAACATGAAAAAAATAGTCGAAATGTGAAATTAAAACCGACAGTAGGTGTCAGCAAGTGACTGTTAATGAGTGAGTCATTGAGATTCAACCGATGCATTCAAATGACTGATTCATTCAGAAACAAAGCATTTGACTGTGTTAATGGGTGAATCACTAAATCATTTTTATCAACCGATTCGTGCAAAAAGCTGATTAATTCAATAAGTAAACACTCAGAGACGCAAAACAGTGCTGTGATCTTTGTTTGGAACTATTTTCGTTGGTAACATTGAGCAAAAACAAGCAATATTATGTCTAAAATGTAAGTCACTTACTGCTTTACTGAACTTCTATAAAATGATTATTAAATGTGTTCATGCTGATATCTGCAGAACAACGGTACTCTTTGTGTGATATAGATGTATCTATATTAAATTATATAAATATAAAAAGCATACAGAAGCATTTTTGCCTGTCTATAATTTAGAATGCCTAGAATTTTGAGTTTTAATAGATTAATAAATCAACGTGCGTGAACTTGTGTGATGATTTGGTGATATAGCCTACTTGATGTCAGATCGCACATCATTACAACAACACTTGCCACATTATCGCAGACGATGCTGTATCGCACAGCACACCCCAGACTCGATTTGAGTGGAAAATGAATCATCCACGGTTGTGCGCGCACTTGTTTGCACGTGAGCAAAAGTGTTTTTAGGAGTCTAATGCCGAGTTCACACTGCACGATTTTCAAAGTCGTCGGGTCACCGTGGTTTTCGCACTGCACGACTATCTGAGGTAGCAGTCAGTCGCTGCTGTGTTCACATTGCACG